CTTAATATGGCTATTCATGCTAGGCAAAATAGACAGTATGCCCTAAGTTTCTTAGTAAGGCAGTACGTGAAGGTAGCAAAGATGATTTGATTTATTTATTTTTAAATCAGCGTGTAAGCTTAAGTTGAAGTAAACAGTTGGGTTTGGCACGAATATCACTGCTTTCCAGTAATTTGAAGTACACTCGTACTTTACTTTTCTCAGTCCTTGGCAAAGTGATTTGCAGGAAAACAGGGACCAAAACTGGACAGTTCACATCCCCTCCGCCGCCGTTGTATGTCTTCGAACCAGTCCTTTGTGATACCAGCGCAGCCAAGAACTCTTACGATGTGACAAATTTAGTTTTCTCAAATACTCTCTATGTAGATGATCAAAGTAAAACTGATGGGAAGAACTTCTCTACCATTGGTACCTGACGGTGTCACAACAGTGCTGGCGTGGAGGATTTTAACTGTTTTCCTCCAGGCAGTAACTGTTGGCAGCCACGATCTGGGAGGTATGACTAGCTCAAGTCCGTAATATGTGTTCTTCATGAAGTGTCGTGTAGCTTTAAAGCACAGATGCTGGCCATACCTGATAACTCAGTATTTCCTTCTTGGTTTTTATTTCCTTCTTGGTTTTGCTCCTGTCTATCCGTTTATCTCCACGATGTCAAGCCACGGGGTTTAAGAAAGGAAATAAAACGCCCTGCTTGGCAAACGGAAAAGTTGCAACAAATGTATTCAGCTTTTACAAACTTGCAACTTAATGAAGCAAATAATTTAAAGCTTGATAAAGAATAACTTCAAAATTTGTACACATGCAAAGGCGATAGTCTCTAAAGCAGTAATTTACAGAAGTAATCAGTTTTGCACTGTCATTCACACTGAGTTGTAAGACAAAAGTTACGGCCGATCTGTTTGTTTCGTGTCTTGCAATGAAAATACGTCCAGCACTGCTGTGAAAGCAAGATCCTCTGTACACGTACTGGTCAGCAAGACACTATACCTGTAAATTAGCAATATATGTTATTGCCCTGATGAGCAATGCTTTTCTTCTGTCACTTGGGACTCCTGTGAGGAGTAATATCCCCCTGTGTAAATACAGCCTGCAAGAGTAGTAATAGAACAGTCAATGTGAACTCTTTGCCACCCCGCTACCTGAAGCCGGTGTTTCAGCCCCTCAGCGCTCCACTGAAGTTGCTGGTTTTCCAGTCTTTAAAATTGGGTAAAAGTCATGTCGGTAAACTATGCACGAGGACGGATTTCTTACTCTGTTTTGCTGCTGCTACTTTTGGGTTTTTTTTTTTTTGCTTTTACTACTGCTGCCAATTGGGTAGAAGTCATGTCGGTAAACTATGCACGGGGACGTATTTCTTACTCTGTTTTGCTGCTGCTACCTTTTTTTTTTTTTTTTGCTTTTACTACTGCTGCTTTTTTGTTAGCCTTACAGATGCTGATTTAAAGGTATGCCAGCAGAAGAATATCGCCAAGAAAAAATATCAAAGGTGATGTGAGGGAATTACTGCTTTTCTTCTCCATCAGCCAGTGTTACTAGAATTGGTTGGAGATTGTGCTCGCTATCAGGTAGGCACTTTCCACGGAAGAATAATCCCCGTCCTGGAGAACTCGCAGTCTAAGCCCAGGCAGAGGTGTAGATGTTGTGTGGAGGGGTCAGTACGATGAACAGGGCTTCCCAGGAAAGCCCAGCTGCCTGGCCAGCCCGCGGCCACCCTGGGGTGCCAGTGGCCCTGAGGAAGGGCGCAGCCGGGCAGTGCGTGCCCAGCCCTCGCGCAGCAGCTTCCACCCCCTCATCCTGCCTGGACTTTGCTGCTGTGGGAGGGTTAGGCAGCACTCCCTGCAGCTGCAGGAGGGCTCTGTGCGGCAGGTGAGTAGTTTCTTCACGTTTGGTTTATGCGTTCTGTTCCTAAGTTAAGGTATTCATTTAAGTAATTTCTTTATTAAAATTGCAGACCATCTCTGTAATTAGTCTGTGGGGGAAATATGCGTGGGAGCATAAAGAAGATATTAAAATATTTAAAGACAATCCTATAAAATATATGTTAAAAAAAACCCAAAAACCAAAACAACTTTCTTTTCTCATGGGCAGAGATGAGGATCAACCTCTTAGAACAAAAAATGTGGAAAAAAGGCCGTACTCTGACTATACCAGGGCAGCTGGCGGCAGGAAGTCGGGAAGCTCTTAGAAATTAGAAAAATGGGAAGTTTGGATGTTTTAAAAGATGTGACTGTAAACCATGGGGTTTTTTCTCTTCAGAGAAGCCGCTTGTATTGATGTATTAACAAAGACATCTAATCTCCATGTCATATTTTTAAAGATACTGACTGCGTCTTCTCCCAGTACATTTTCTGTCCAGTAAAATCCATGAAAGTGTAGGTGTTCAGCAGCTTTGAAAAATGAGCCTTTGCCTCTACATGGGAACGCGCTGCCATCAGAGGTCATTTATTTATTAATAATTATTGATCTAGTAAGTGTTTTGGGTTTTTAAATTGGTAACTAAATTAATACAAATTTAATTGTTTTGCTATTTTTTCTGTCTGTAGAAAAGGACCACTAGATTAAGGATTAGGGCTGCTGCTTACAGGTAACCTGATAAAGTTCAGGTACCGGAGTATCAGTGGTCACTAGCTTACAGCTACTGTCGTGGTCGTGGCTTTGGTTTAGGTCAGCCTGAAGTGAGGGACCTACGCTAAGTGGATCTAGGTGGGACTTCTAGGCTGGTGCCAGCCGAATATGCAGCTGGGTTTAGATCAGGGTTTGGCGGGGTCCAGATTTAGGATTGGAGTTAAAGTTTCTTTCAAAACTTACAGAAGTACATGTATTAGGGTTTTGTTTTCAGATGCGCTCAGAGGTGAGAAAAGGGAAGGCATTAGACTAAAATTGGGAGGGAGGGTTTGTTTATGTGACAGCGCTTTCGTGTAGAATAATGTTGTGCAGATCTTCTGTGAAACTAGTGTTAGATGTGCCAAGTCTTATGCAAGCAACAGGAAAAAAAACTGTTTGTTTCAGAGGCCTTTTAACTTTGGGCTTTCTTTTATTATGTTTACACATTTCAGTCTGGTGTAGCTGGTTCTACGTAGCTGTGGAAAGCGTTACAGAAACCTCGCATACGTGTATGGAACTACTACATACCGAGAAGTTCCTTTGAAAGGCTAACTTGTACCCTGTCAAAATTAATGATATCTTTTGGCTAAACCTGCTCCTTGGACTTATTTTGTGTATTTTTGTGAGAACAGCCACTGACTGGGAATGATAGTGTGGGTTTTTCCAAGCAGGCAAAATGAGTCATCCTAATTCAGATGTTAAGTGCTGTGGCCCCATCTCCAACAACCTCTGTACCTGGCAGGGAACGTCTGTGAGAACAGAGGTAAATTGTCAGGCTTGACTTTATGATTATTGGCCTTCAGTCGTAAGTTGAGAAAAGTTTCTTTTCTACACATAGACGTTCAAAGTAACACAAAGCACAAGGCGAGCGGCACAAGCACGCTGAGAGCATTAGCCCGTTCGCCGCTGGCTGGCTGTGAGGAGTGGCGATGCACTTGTGCTGAACGAATGACAACTGTGGAGCTGGGAGAGAAACCGTTCTTGTTCGGAAGCGCAGGATATGATTGCGAGGTGTGTGCCTGGATGTGCCAGGGGACTGACACACGTACTGCTCTTCAAATGGGCACCCTGCAGAATGCCTCGTTCCCTTCTGCTTCTCAGTTGCACGCTGACAGTGGAACAGCCTTGCGGTATCTTCCCATTTAACTCCTTTCCCCCGTTCTTTATAGCATTCCGCAATTGGCTCTGTATCAGCTGAGCAGTTTCACCTGTGCAGAAACTTTGTGCC